TGCTTTGCACAAGGTGATAGTAAATTTCATATTCTTCTTTCATATCTTCTCATACAGAAGCTTATTGGGTTAAAAAGGAATACAGAAAGAGCATAGAATGAGTATGCCTTCAGAGATCTGGGATTAAGCAAAATCCTTTGCATGTGAATAAGGATCTTAGCTTTGTTTTTCTGTTTGGCTTCAAAATTTCTCAACAAGAGCAACTTGGCTCCCATATAGCCATGTGCTCATTAATGCAGGATTATGGTCCCTTTGAAACTCTTTCTGACAGTCTTCACCTCACAGTTATAAATGCAGAATTGGATATTTCTGAGTTAAAGGATCAAAACTCAAACTGAAAGACAAAAGGCTCAAATAGTACCAAGCCATAATTACCTCCAAAGGGCTCAGTATACCAATTAAGTGCTGCATTCTACCTTTTTTTACAGCACTTTCTGTTCAGAATGAACTCACTGATTTCAATTGAATGAAACCTAAGAAAAACTGCATAGTGTCTCAGATTATTTTATGCCTGATTTCTGTTTCCCGTAATGCTGTATGTCAGAGATCCCAAAACTGAAGATTAATCTCTTTAGGAAAGACCTTTTTATATAAAAAGCTTCTGATGATGCTCATATTTTCAATGTAAAAGTTCTAAATATTTCCTTTTATAAAGAAGTATAATGTTATGACTGCATTTCTTTTAATTCCAAGGTGAATGCTTAAAAAATTCTTGAAAAAGAAGAGACAAGTGTGTGTATGCCCTTCAAAGTAATTAGCAAGTTTCAACAGTGATTGGTACAAAACAATTATTGTCATTGATCAGCACTGAACAGATAATTTTAAACAAAGTCATTGTGTGCTCAGCAGATTACAGCTTGTTAACGGGCAAGTTCTAAATGACCTCTTAAGCTAGTCAAATCAATGATGCATATTCCTCATTAAGTAACATCAAAATGTAAGTGGTCTTATAAATAATGTTTATTTTAAGCACTAAAACAAATGGCAAAACCTTGATATATCAAAAGCCATCTGCTCGTGGATTTTTTTTTTTTTTTGCCATAGGATTACTTTTGTTGCTGAAAATTTACAGGAAAAAAAGATTAAATCTTCAATCTCTTCAATCTTTTAAGAGACAGAATCATACTTTGCCTTGAAACTGAAACTGATCCAAACAAGATCTATGATTTAATTTTAAAAGGTAAAACTGATAGCTCTGATTGCAACCAAATGCAACCCAGAAGGACAATATATGTAGACTGATTTCAAAACTATGAGCCTGTGTATGCCCTCAATACTTCAAATGCCAAAACTGAAACACCCTTTCTAAAGAGTGGCTATAAAGTGAAATAAATAGTTAATACCATGAGGCAAAACAAAGTGGTTAAATAGAAAAACATATACAGTTATTGCTATATTTTTAGAACACAATCATGAATCAAGCTCATGATGAGTGAATATAAGGAACTGTTGGCTTAGGAAGCCTGAAGTTTGAGCACACATGATCTGTGGAGAAACCAAACAGGCCTGATTTGCTATTGGACCTTGGTTACTTCTTCAAGAAACACAGGAGAAAAAAAAAACCTCAAAAGCATTCAGTGTTTCAGACTGGTAGCATTCAAAGTCTGCTCTGCAGATATGGCTGCACAAGATTTAGATAGAGGAGAATCAGATTCTGACAGTTGCAACTAAATAAAGATCTGTTTTATTGTTTTTTACTGATTTAAATTTCCATTAAAGAAAAGGACATGACTGAAAAAATGGTACTTTGAAGATTTATATCACCTAATGATTTAACATTATATTTCCATTACAAATGAATGAGAACACATTCGATTTCTTTTAAAAATGAAAGACCAAATGCAAAACTCCATTTGACTAGAATACATAATCACCTCTGAAATTTGGTCTTCAAATATATTCTGGAAGTACAGAGGCAACTTGTAAGAGCTGGCTTACATCTTATGTTTTCTCACTCATCTCAGCCGCATGAGTAAGTAGCATTTATCCACTGCAGAATACTTTCAAACTTGCTAAGTAAGGAATGAACTACAGCGACAACAAAAAGGTCCATTTGTGAGGTATTAAACTGCTATTAAACACCTACAGTTCTTCAACATGCACAAAATGTAAGATTCTACTTTGTGCCTTTGAGAGAACTAGAACTAAGCAAAACACCTGATGAGTACAGGTCTCTTGACTCTGAGTCAATCTGGAATTAGAAAGGCCACAAAATTAAAATCCATTCTAAAAATCTTCTTACTCTACATGAGTTTCTCTGCATTAATCCCTTGGTTAATCTCCATTGCCACCATATTCCTACATTTGGTAGAATTCAAAATATAAGGTGCCTGGCATAAAAAGATAGACTTCTAAAGTAAAGCAGGCTTATATCACAAAATGAAAGAAATAAGTAACATAAAAAGACTTAATCCCAAAAATTATTTTATGTTTTCCCCATATTTGTTTTACATATTTGTTCAAGTGCAGTTTCAAAGTTCAGGAAAAAAAAGCTAATTTCTAGTTAAATATGTTTTGCAGTTTCACTCACAACAAACTTCATTTGCTGTGGATTCAATGAAGTCCAAAGTCTGTTTATGCACTTCTTCAACTAGCAAAATTCACTCTTAATATCATTAGTGAGATCAGTTCAGTTCCACCTCTGTGTTTAAGCAATGAAATTGTCCTGTGCTCTCTTACTGTTGAGACTCAATACAGCAAATATCATACACTAACAAGAGAAAAAGCACAGCCACATCAACAAGCTTATCAGCCCTGTAGTTTGTCAGAATTGCAAATATATGTCTACTTTTGTAGAACAAATGTTCTTATATTTGTAAGAACACTGGCAGATAGAATGTTTGGGGGTTTTATCAGTATCATACATTATAAGGTCCAATGGGCATTTAAATTGGGAAAGACACATTCAGGTACCACAAATTCAGCTACAGTTTTCAAATACAACCCTGACTCCTCAGTGAAACTTTAATTTTTAACTATGTAGTATTTCCTGCTGTTGCCATCAGCATATCAATCAAGTGTATATTATTCTGCTTTGCTCATTTTATTAAAAGTAAATTCGGAGCACAATTGACTTTTCATTTGTTTAACAAGTGAAGAAATATTTACCCTGACAGCCATTTCATTGTAGAATTTCAGCTTCTTAATAAAATATGCTCTCTGTGAATCAAAAAAAGAAAAAAATGGCACATATTTCAGTTACACAAAGACAGTCCAGCTATTTTTACATATAAAAGATAAGAATCTTTATACATAATACATAATAAGAGTTCTAAGCTTAGAGAGAATAAAATCAAACTTTGTATTGAAGAGATAGGCTTCCTAATACATAATGCAGGCTTAACCAGAAAAATCTATGGTAGTCAAACTAGGAGCTAATGGAGATATATGATCATAAAATGCTCTCCGCTGAGTTTGATAATCAATGGTGCTCTACTGAGAGTAGAATAACAAAGCAGAAATATTCACAAGTGCTGGTGACATGTAGTATTGTATGATTTATTCACTGGGGTTCTTTTAGCCAAAACTCACAGAAACATAAAAGGAATTCATATTTCAAGATGTCTGGTTTAATGAAAAATTCAGAGAAATGCTGTCTTCAGTCGAAATCGTTCAAGGATACGGATGCAGTGATGGAGCAAAATTGTGCCTTCCAACCATCTGTACTAAATGTTATGTACTTAGCTGCCTCCCGAGTAATCGTTGGGAATTTTGTTTCATTTAATATGCATTTTAACATCATAAAATCATAAATACAATGATACCATGTTACAGTGAATCCCCTGATATAGAAAACATTTCCTGAAGTCCTGGTTTCCTTCCAATAAAGTAGAATTCCTCTCATAGTGAACGAATCCCCTATTATACTAAGCAATCACTTGGCAGCATAGGTTATTTTAATGGATACATCACTTTAAACTAAGCTTTCACATCTGTTCCGCCCTCTAATTACAAATGCAAAATGAACATAATTCACAATTGTATCATAAAAAGTAAAATATAAGTACTTTGAATGCAAGAGTATGTCCTTTATTTAGCACAACATGCAGCTTTTATGTGTTTCTCATGTTTTAGACACAAATCAAAGGCAAAAGTGCTTTCCCCTGATATAGTGATTTTCTCCCCCATGGCAAACAGGAATTCACTATAAAAGGGTTTCACTGTAATTAGTGTTATTTGAATTGCCTAGTCTGATCCAAAGCAAATTGTCTGTGGAGAGCAGCAGGACTGGATTATTTATCAACAGTCTGGGCAATTAAGAAACAGTTGGCTGCAATATGTTATTTACAAATGAACACAATGATGCTACTTCATTTTAAATTCTCTTTCTTCATTACATTAAGCAAGGCATAATTCCTGCAGTTTAATTAAGGTGCATTTTAAATGCTCACTTTAATATCATACCAATCTACTAATAATGGAAACAGCACAAAATATATTTCTTATATGAAAGAAAATTGCAGAATTCTTAAAGTTCAAAGAAGTTTCACGCATATGTGTGGATGTGCATACATACACAGATATATACATGTATATATTCAAGGGAAAATCTACCCCAAATGTACAAATTAGAATAAATAATGGACTGTCTCTCTCCCCTTTATTCTCCATAAGTATTTAGTGAGTGATAGTAACTGTAGATAGCTAATAATGGATTGAAATAATGGTTGCCTGACTTAAGCATCTATCTAAACTGCTTGATTAAATTGATAAAATTTTGGGTTGCAGCTCCTTTTGGAAGTGAACATAAGAGTTACCACACCACAAAATAGATAAAATACATTTTAATGGAAGCTTAAAATGTTCCTAAGCTTAAAAAGATTCATGAGATTTTTGTCCATCAGTGATTAAACAATTTTCCACCTTTTTGTTTATTCTTCTCATATTTTAAAGCTGTGAGCACTTAGGTTTGAATGCATCCCATTTCATTGAGGAACATAAATTAGAGACCTTACATCATTTATGCTCTTTATATCATCCATACTGAGAGACAATGTGGGACCACTTTGACTCTGAGCTTGGCCAAGTATTGAAGAACTCTGCCAGTCAATGGCAACTAAGGTCTGATCTTGCATATCCCACTGTGGTGTGAGGGGGTGGTGTCAAACTACATAACATAAAATATTCACTTTTCACAACTGCATCTCCTTCCAAAGGAAACTGGAAATATGGCCATCATGCATACCAGCTTCATATAATAATGAAATATTACAATTCCCCTTCATTTAGCAAATGATTCCTTGGCTTTGACAAAATAATAATGAAGAAACAATGATCCACAGTTTGTTCCATGTTCTGGTGTTTGCCTGATTCTAATATTCATACCTTCCTGCAGGTCATGCAAACTTTCAGAATCCAACATAATCAATGTAACCAAGTTATTAAGAAAACTGTTGGAGAGCAGTTCTTAATTTTAGCTTGAGATAAATAAGAAAACAAAGCTTTATATCAAACCACCTCTATTTAGAATAGAAAGGCACATAACTTTAATCATATAAATGCCATCAATAGTTGTTAGGTTTTCTAGTTTTTCTTACAAAATATATATCTCAACAATCAAAGAAGAGGCTCTAGAGGAGAAGCAAATGAAATACTAGTGGTGATGCACATATGGACAGCCAATCTGATGAACCTCAGCCTTTGTTATTTTCCGCATCAGTACCATTCACATTTCACAATTTTGAATATAATCATTAAAATGATTTATTATCAAGCAATCATGGGTATTTTGTGCATATGCTTTGCCTTGTTTTCTGGCAGCAGATACCAATCCAATCATTATCAGCAGACAAATTTTAAAGTGACCAGTGTATTTAAGGAACTATCATACCAAATGCATCATTGTGCTTCATAGTCAGGAATCATTACAACAGTTATTAGCAAGAGTTCTTTACAGACATTTCCTGATCCTTTAACTTGAAAGTTATGTTAAGCTGCTGAGATTTTTCTCTTTGCATATTCCAAGTTCAACCATTAATTGAGTAAAGATAGTAAAACAACAAATATAAGGTATTAACTCAGACTTTATATTTAAAGTCCACCCCAGAACACACTGAATACATCAGTCCAAAGGGAGTAGAATGTAGCCTTTTTATCCCATACTTGTGTGGTACTCAGATTGGCTTCCAATCAAGCTGTTCTATTTAGTCTTCTCCAATCAAAGAGATGGCAAAAACAAAATGTAGTGTTTGAGGGGGAAAGATCATTTCCTGTGCTGATTGCTGTAAAATTTGTAAGCTTTCTAATGAGATTCTCTCCCTCTAGAGCTCTGGCTAGCACTGGATAAGTACTGGAATCCAGAAACTGGATGTATTCATTATCTGATTTAGAATGTGTGTATTAAGTTGCAGAATTTTTTGTCCTACATTGTTCTACAAAATTCAGATTTGGCAAGTTTTTCAGTTATGTCTATTTGAAGAACTAAATATGTGCAAGGCTTTATTGATTAAAGACCTTTTTATTTTACTTTTTAGAATTATATTCAAGAACAGAAAGCTGAGGGGAGTTTATGATGTTAGTTCTCTTGGGTTTGTGATTACAGGCAAATCTGTTTGATCGTGTTGATTTCTTCTTTCCCCTGTCTCAGTGACTGCAGAAATCCTTTCTTTTCATTAACGAGTTTTAAAATAGATTATCATGTCTCTCTTCTACAGAAGCTTTCCTGGATTAAACAAACCTTCCTTAAACTCAGGAATAATATTCAGCTGAAGTCCTACTTTTTTTGAAACAGACCCAAGGCAACCATACAGCTATCTGCTCTGTAGTCAATAATTACTTTTAGAAGATGAGTGAAAACCACTGACTGAAGGGATGGCTCATCATTTATTAGTTAAGACAGTTAGTAAGTTGGAAGAGAGAAAATCTTTACATAGATTACGGATAGACTTAGGGAAAAAATCTCTAATACTCGAGATCATAGTTTAGTAGGGAGTATAAGCTTTGGTGTGTAATATATTGTTTATTTTAGCTCTTTTTTTACTTCTTGAATTGTCTGTTTTGACTTAAAAACAGCCATTTAACCAAATTAATCAAGAATGACTAACAAGTTTAACACTATTGTAAAACATTAACATAAATTGATAAATTAGTGAAGTAAATCACATGTTTTAAGTTATTTTCTTCTTAGTCCCCTAAATCTTTTAGCAGAGGTTTTCGCTTCTGTGCTATCACAAGCTTTTGCTCTCTTCAGGTCCATCACAGGAATTAGATTGACTATGATCTGCTGTGTGCCTTAAGGCAAAACCTCAAATACTTCAAGGTTCATTAAGTAAGAAATTTAAACCACTAAAACATAAAATAGCAATTGGCTTATTTTATTTTCAAAATTAAAAGTTCTGCCAGGAAAAAAAAAAAAACATACCACAAAAAACCCCAAACAACAAAACAAAACAAAAACAAAACAAAAGGAAAAGAAAAAAGCAAAACCAAAAAAAGCAGCATCTTGTAAAGCTCCAATCCTGCAATTAGCATCATGTGGGCAGACTTCTGCATGAGTAGATCTCATTGCTGGTTTGGGGACCAATACTCCAGAGCTGCAGACACTTAAACACTGACTTAACTTGACTGTTAAAAGTAGGCTTGCTGAAATTAATGGTGCTTTCCATTACAGTAAAATTAAGAGTGTGTCTGTGTGTATAAAGGATGGTGTTTCAGTTTTTAATTTAATAATCAGTGAATGAATTATTCATACATATCCTTCAAATAACCAATAACCAAATAAAATTTTAAAAAGTACTTTTCTACCTCCACTATTTCTCTGAAGTGTTTTCTTCTTAGATAACCTCTCCACCACTTCTGTATCAAAATCACCATTTTGGTCAGATGCCTAAAATGAAACATATTAACAAAGTAATTCATTTTTCATACTTCAGATTTATTAATTTTTCATAATAATAAAAATAACATACAGTGTATTATGCCTCATAGAAATGACCACTATAAGCATACTTTATACATATACATGTATATATATACATATATACATATGCACACTCAGAGACCATTATATGCATATATTTATTCATACACACATACTTTTGTTTTTGGAAAGCATAGGTTACTGCAAGCTTACCTGTATACTATTAGACTGGTTTAATGAAAAAGTCTTACAAATTTAATTTGCATAATAAATGCTTTTATTTTCATGGTTTTAACCAACAAATCTGACAAGTTCAGGATTTTTTTCTCATGCAACATTTTCACAGATATACTGTTTTTAACTATTTGACAAAACCTACTGACACTTGAATTTTTAGATACTTTTTCACTTTTAGACACCTTTCTGCTTTTATAAAATTACACCTAGCTTAATTGTCAATATTTACTTTGTCCTTAATTAATTTATTTATATATAGATACATGTGTTGCTACAAAAAATTTCCTAATTGATGGCACATAAATTTTTGCAAAAAATGATCAAATCATTACTTTGAGAAATAGAAAAAGCTGTACAGGTGATCATTCATACCACCTAACTATGGACATCAAATTAATAAGCCTTGCACTCCACTCAGTGAAGGCAGTCTTTGGGTAATTCAGAGCACTGAGAATTGGCTACGTTGAGCCTGCTGTCCTAAGTAAGCCAGAGACAATCACAGAATTATAGAACCAATCAAGGTGGGAAGAAACCCTGAAGATGATGCAGTCCAACTGTCCATCCAGCAACACCATAATCACCCCTAAATCTTATTGCCAAGCACCACATCCAGACACATCTTGAACTTCAGAAGATGGGGATTCCACCATCTTCCCAGACAATTCATTCCAATGCCTAATCAGTCTTTTATTGATTTTTTTCTTTCTAATATCTCATCGGAACCTCCTCTGGTGCAGCTCAAGTACATTTCTTCTAAGAGCACATAATGACTGCAGCCTATTTTCTTATGAGGGAAATACTGGCCATTAAGTAGTAAATGTTATTTAAGCTAATAATTCTTCAGGTTTCATACAGTAGGTCTGGATGATGTACAACTACTTGCAACAGGCAAGAGGTCAAACTAGAAGATGTAACAATCCCTCTCCCTCGACCGCCCTGTTTTATGAAGATACAAAAGTTTGAGAAGAAGGGTTTGGCCAGTTGGCCTTATGACATAAAAAATTGAAGAGGGCTTTCTGGGAGAATGGACCAACCATAGTTTCCAGGAAATTTGTAACATTGTTATAAAATCATAGAATCAATATGGTTGGAAACTACCTCCAAGATGAAGCCCAGTGTTGATAGAGCATTTCCCAGAACAAAGCTGGTGAAGGGCCTTGAAGGGGAAGCCACATGAGGAGTAGCTCAGGTCACTTGGTCTGTTCAGCCTAAAGGAGACCAAGGAGAAACTTCAGTGCAGTCTACACCTTCCTCCCAAGGGGAAGCACAGAGGCAGGCACTGATTTCTCCCTGGTGACCAGTGACAAGACCTGAGGGAGTGGGCTGAAGCTGTATTGGGAAGTTTTATGTTGGATATTAGAAAAAGTTTTTCACTCAGAGAGTGGTTGAGCACTGGGGCAGGCTTCCCAGAGAAGTGGTCACAGCCCAAGCCTGCCAGAGTTCAAGAAGCATTTGGACGTGTGGTGTGATTCTCAGGATTGTCCTGAACAGGGCTAGTTGTTGGACTTTGAAGATACTTGTGGGACCTTGCAACTCAGGATATTCTATGATTCTATATGAAAAGTCCAAGGGATATCTAGTTATTTCTTTTTCTCCCAGTCATAACAAGATTTCTTAAACAATACTGCATATTTATTCTGAACATAATTTCCATGCTTTCTAGCATCATGCCTTTTTAATTGTATACTGTTCTGAAAATCAAAAATTGTTATTTCTTACAATGCCACAGCATATATTTGATTGCCTTTTTTTTTTCCCCAAAATGCTCAAATTTTATTAAAATCAAGTAATAACATAAGAAATTTTGAGGAAAATTTCAATGCTGAAAGAAGGATTAAGAGAGGCTTTATATACTACCTCAGACAGATTTGTAATCTGCATACTCGAAACCAGCGCTGGATCTTGACAGCAGCTTTGTACTTTCTTTTTCTGTCTTCATCTATAGCTCTGAAAAAATATAAAAGTAGTAATATTTCTCAGCATGGTCATGTAGAACCAAAGCAAAAATATTACTCTAAATATGTTTTATTGTTGCAATTTTGGATCCTTTTCACCAGGTTTTTCACTTTTAATTCTACGTAATTCAGTGGTAGTACAAAAAAAATTAATTTACATTAGTTGCATAGTATGAAGGTAAAAAAGAATATTGCAGGTTGTAGAGGATGTAAGTTTTGTAAGTGGGTATTTCTTACTCCCATACAGTACTTAGATATATGTCAGCATGTCACATGGACTTCTTCCATGAAGCTGAAATATGTGGATAATGCTTTAATGATAATTAGGCCTAAATAACAACAAAAATCACATAACTGTATAAAACTGTGAATCTGCAGTGTTTGCGACAAAGCTAAAAGTCATGTAAGGAAGACCATGAAACTAAAAGAGATTAAAGAAACATGTTGTTAGTCTGAAGGAGACTTTTCATAGAATTGAGGGAGAAATCATTAGCATTATGAGTTTCAATGTTGAGGGGTAAAATTCAGCTATGAGATCACATCTAGCTTTCATTCTTCTTTTGTTTGTTTCAAAATGTCAGTAATTGACAAGTTTTTGAACTTAAAATTAAATTCTAATTTTTCATTGATTTTTATTCTTTCCCATTTTTATTAGGAACATAGTCACCAAATTCTTTGTTACACCTGACAAAATATAATGTTCAGGTTACTATTAGTTCACTTTCTTAATTAGCTCTCCTAACAAAGTTTCATGTCAACATTAATTGCCTCAGTAAATACTAACAAGATTATTGTTTATCTGATAAATTAGGATTATCCTCATTATAGGTCTGAAAATGAAATGAATTGCAGATTTACTACCAGAGACCAAGAAACATTAGCTCCACTCATTTTATATCATCTGGTGCAGCATGTGATCTCAAATCACATTAAATAGGCACAAAATTTCACTGTCTGATGTGCATGAGACATTCTCAGTGCCTGAAAAGTCTGGGAAACAAGCTTTTTTGCTTAAAAATGAACAGTTTTCAAAACTGGCTAGAAAGTTTTCTTGTTCCTTTCCTGTGCAGATTCCTAGTCTTCAACAGGAACCAGACACCTCCAGAAAACTTTTCCTTAGAGGAAAATTATTTTGATCAGAAGGATCAGATTTTATTGAAGCAAAGCAAAACCAGACTTGTTTTTCTCACAGGATAGATAGTTCCACAAACACTTCCAGCTGCCCTTGCCAGCAGAAGTGTTTTGAGGTGTAAGCTTCTCAAGCAGATATCTGCCCTTTTGATCAGATTACACAGTTGTCATACTGTTTGAATTAAGCTCTTGAGATTCACAGATACTTCAAAAAGGCTGTACTGAAAGTTAAAAAGGCCTACTCAAGCACCCAACATACAGATACTACAGTAAATAAAAGTAGGTTCTTGAATGAGTAGAGTGATAAAATTGTGTAACACTTAAAAGAATGAATTAATGGATCTTGTATATTCTAATCCTTATGCTGAGGGTATTTCTCAAAATGCTTATGGTATTCTTGCACTGTGGTATCATTGGCACCTTCCCTAGGTGCCAATTTTAGGGAAACCTAAAAAGGCAGTTTAGGAAACCTCATACATGTCACATAAACAGAGTTCTGCATAAAGCACAACAGCAAAGTTATTAAGATCAGAAGAACATTACAAAGACTTGTTGCTGCACTGGACTCTTTGAATCCTCTCATTTGCATTCTCAGCTGTATATCTGAATTTTCTGAAACTGGCGGATCATAGCCCATTCTTAAAAGGGAAACAATTGGAGAGCTCTGCCAAAAAAGAAATCCCCAAACAACAAGCATGCTGCCCTCCAATGGATTTCCAAGTCTGGCTCAGACTGCTCTTTCTAACCTGAAATATGTGAAATACAAGCACAGCCTCCTGCAACTGATGTTTGTTTAGTGAATTGCTGTGTGTACAGCCACAAGAGTATGAGTGAAAGTTCAGGCAAAGAACAGAAAAACACAACACTCTACATGCAGGCAGGACTTGATCTCTGTAACTTTTAGTAATGTTCAGGAGCTTTGTTATTCATGCTAATGGTGTTGTAATTAGATTCAAAAATAAATTATTCATTAATTAGTGAATAAAAAACCACAACTCTGCTAAATATGTGTGGTGTTTCTTTATATTTGAGCTTTTTCATTACACATATAGCAACAGTGCAGCTGAATAAAAGGATTTATAGGACAAATCTCTGCAATATTTAAGTAAGTCTTACAACTTTTAATTTCCTAAAATCTGGTCTGGGAAAAGTTGGCCACTACCATTCTGGGAGTCAGAAAACTTGGCACAAAACATCCCAGTTGGTGAGGACGAGGATAACAGATATGATCTGATCTCTTTCCATTAACTTTAAAAATAAATAAATAAATATTTTAAAATTTTTAAAAATAAGTCGTCTCTTTGCAAGAGGACAAACGTCGAGTCACAGATGTGAGCCACGAGAGCAGGGACTCGGTCCTGGCGCGCCGCATCCCGACGGATGCTCGGGGAAGAACAGCACCTCTAGGGCGGGACAGAGGCGGGACAGGGGAACGGAGGTCGGCTCCCGAGGCTGGAGAGGGCGGAACTTGCGAGGCTCAGCGAATTTCAGGAGTTTCCAGAGGCTCCTTTTCCTTCAACATCTGCAAGGGGGCGGGGGAAGAGTGGGACACAGTATTTTCTGTATATAAACAAGGCCCTGAAAGACGCTGCGCTGCGGCCAGCAGGTCTCCTCAGATCGCTGTGGAAATGTTGGGGAAAAGGCGGTGGGTTGGTGCTCTCGGGAGGGATTTTAAAGCGAAACTGTTTCACAGAATAATCACGGAGTGCGTCAGGCTGGAAGGGGCCACAGTGTGTCATCTGGTCCAACCTCCCTGCTCATACAGGGTCATCCCAGAGCACATGGCACAGGATTGTGTCCAGAATATTGAACCTGTGTCCAGGTTCTTGAATATTTCCAGTGAGAGACTTCACCCTCTCTCTGGTCAACCTGTTCCAGTGCATGGTCACCTGCACAGTAAAGTTCTTACTCGTATTTAGACTGAACTTGCAGTGCATCCAGTTTCTACCCATTGCCATTTGTCCTATTGCTTGGCACCACTGAGAAGAAGAGCCTGGTCCATCTGGTCACATTCTCCCTTCAGATACTTAGGCACACGGAGGAGGTTCTCTTTTTGAGGCTCAACAGGCCGAGCTACCTCAGCCTTTCCTCGTAAGACGGATTCTCTAGTTCCTTAATGATCTTCATGGCCTTCCATGGACCTTCTCCAGGAGCTCCGTGTCTCCCTCGCGCTGAGGAGCCCGGAGAGTTTCCAGGGGCGCTGCCTCCATCTCGTTGCCGGGGGAGAGCAGGGCCCGTCCGCCCCAGCATAAGGCGGTGTATCCCGCCCCACCGCCTGCCCAGGTACCTGTTCGTGAGGAAATACTCCTCCCGGAGTCCCTCCAGCCTCTCCTGCAGCCGGGCCAGGGCGGCCATGCTCGCTCCCTGCTCCCGCCCGCAGGACGCTGCCGCCATGGCAACGGGACCGTCCAGTGCGCTCGGGCGCGGGGGTGCCGCAGCTCCGGGCGGCCGCGCAGCCCGGCACGGGCAGCGCTCCGCGGGCAGCGAGAGCTCCGCCGAGCTGTACCGAACACAAGGCGGGGGCGCTGGAGGGGACGCGGCGTCCCTGGGCAGCGCTGAGAGAAAAAAGAGAAAGAGGCGAAGTGGTCGCGTCCGGCTTCCTGCGGTGCCGCGGCTGCTTCCGGGCTCGCATCATGGGGGACTGAGGAGCAGCGCCGGCTGCCCGCGCCCTCCCCGCCCGGCCTGAGCCCTCCCGCCGGCCCCCGCCGCCTCCCCTCTCCCAGTCTCTGCGAAGCGGCGCCAGCCTCCTCGGGGAGCGGCCGGGGGAGGCGCCGGGTTCATGTTCCGGGTCGCTGAGCCTACCCCGACCCGAGCTCCGGCGGCGAGGAAGAGCTGGTAAGCGCGGGGGGACACACGTGCCCGCCGCCCTGCCCGGCCGCGGGGCCGCTCTCTGCCCCGGGTCCGGACACCGGCCTGGGCGGGCGTGGGGGCGAGTGGTGGCCCCGGTCCGGCCGGGCCTGCCCTCCCCCTGCTGCCCCTTTGGCTGGGGGGAGGTGATGGAGCCCGCACCCGGCCCCCGCGGGACGAGGCGCTGGAGGTCCGAGAGTGCCACTGCCGCCTCTGGACGCGCTTATGAGCGAGCAGGGGGCTGGAGGAAGAAACTTCCACGCCTTGTTGAGAAAGGGACAGCGGGCGAAAGATGGATCAAAACTTTTGTCCCAAGCTGTGTTAGGTTTTCTTGTCTGTTTGTGTTTTTCCAGTAGTGGTAGGCTCTCTAAGGCCTAAAGCCCTTGCAGCGTGTGCAGCTGAGCATCCAGCGCGGTGTGTGTTTCCTCCTCTAAAGCTTCTCTGCTGCAAGCAAAGAATCAACAAGTGCTGCTGTAGCCATCGAGCAGGGAAAGTATGAGTAGTTCTCCTGCAAAAGAAGTTCATAGATTTACTGGTTTATGTAATTTCTTATGCGAGCAGTGACCTCAAAGGCCATAATTTTTTTTTTTTTTTTTTTTTTTTTTTTATCATTTGGACTGACTTATTACATTGAGTAAAATTTATTTTTTTTCATAGAGTTGTAAGGAAGGAAGGCTGAGTAACAGAATAGAAAGGTCAGTTCTGTTAGTAAGCCTTGCAGCTATAAAGAATGGTAGTGTAGAGACTTGATGAAAGCAAGATGTTCCAAGCAACCAGCTGGGAAGGCTTTCATTTTCTTCCTGAAATTTTGGATATCTTTTGATATGTTTGGTTTCAACTGGTGTGTGTAGCTTCTTTCTTGTTTCACTTATTACTGCAAGCAAGGAGGATTGTAATGGGGTTTTGTTTATGGGGATTTTTCCCAAAGATTGATAACATCTTTTAGAGACTATGTTACATATACAGATACCTGCTGGTAGATTTTCCCAGCTGAAATAGACTTGAAATAGACTTGAAATAAAATTCCTTTATCTTTTTCTTTGTTCTTTTCTGGGGATGGGGAGGAAGAGGAAGGGAAAGGTTTAGTGCTTCATTTCTCCTCCCCTTTTGCTGATACTACTATTTTTTTTTCCCTGTGAATATTTTTTTATTTATGTTTTTCTAAATGAGAAAACTTCCAAAGATTTTATTTGGCCAGATGCTAATAATTTTGCTAGAGCAAGTTTTCTGGTGTTGCTATGGATCCAAAATTGCCTATTGTAAATATAACAAGTTCTGTTGTTGTAATTCAGAATGTTTCAGAGAACGAGGTATACTCCAGTGGCACAAGTATTTTTATTTGAGTGTTAATGCTGCATACAGTAGAAACATTGCACAAAACATTCCAAACACGTGTTCAGTCAAAGTCTTCACTATTTATTTGACCTGTCATTTGTTTTTAAATTTTATTATTTTATGTCTACATAAAGTAGTTTAGTTGCAGAGGCTTTTAGAGTAGCGCTCAGCAGCATGAGGTGTAGGGATATTTTTCTGTAATTGTCAACAGACAGTAATAAGTTTTCTTATGCTAGTACGCTGCTCAGAGGAATTCAGTACAGAGGAAAATACTGAAATGTTGTCCATTAAAAATCTGACCACTCCTCAGAGCTGCTCTCTTATTCTTATACATAAGTTATTTCAGAAGCTGTCTGTTAAAGGAGGTCTGTTTGAGTGGGATGCAGGAAAATACTTTTTACAGTGTCTAATACTTGATGTAGAAAATTAAGAACTTGTGCTTTATAAAAACATTAAGATTCTAAAGAGATTAGTAGGTTCAGAACAGCCACAGAGTAAAATTTTTCACTTTGGGTAGTAAAGGTCTTCCAAAGAAGAATGTTTTTTAAATTGTGAGTTCATGTGGCAATTTAAGAATAGTTTGCCTTTCGGATACTTGCTGGGCACTCTGATTCTTTTGATAATGACTGTGGTGCTTTAGCATATTACCATGATTTGGCAGGTCATGTGATTTGGCACCTTGGCAATTAATTAATGAAGTCATACTTCTGAAAAGGGCAAGCATATCAGTAAATGGCAGCAATGGGATTGCAAGAATTGCTCCCTCTCATGATAAATTGCTCCAAATCTCATTTCTAGCTGACCAATTCATTTGTGTTAGAGCCTTGTTAAATATAGTTCATGTCAGCATCTTACTGACTGTATGCTGTTACTCTGTTCTGAACACTTCTTCACTATTAACTATGGGTAGACTGATAGTATTTATTGTTGTGCCTTCTTAGATAAGAAGCAGTTTTAGAAGAGTCAGATGTACTTACTGCATGTTAGCTTGGTTCTAATTTTTAGGGGGATCAGCAGTATAATTGGTGATAAATTTGTATCATTCCTGAACTACTTTGTATTGTATAGGGCAGAATTACAGAAGTAGTGAGGCTGGAAGGGGCCACAGTGGGTCAACCTCCCTGCTCAAGCAGGGTCATGGCAGAGCATGGGGCACAGGATTGCATCCAGATGTTTTTCAGTATCCTTGGTCAGGGAGATTCCACACTCTCTGGTCAACTTGTTCTGGTGCTTGGTCACCTTGCACAATAAGGAGGTTCTTCCTCATGTCAGGAAAATCCACAAATGCCACAGGCTTATGTCCAAAAAAAAAGACAAGGGAGTCCTGCAACTTTATTCAATAAAAGGAGAGAGTCCATCGGGGCACATACCCGTGGCCTTTTCTCTCCAGGTTTTGGAGGACACAGCCTGCTTTTATCCTCAATTCCCAGCTGCACCTTGCCTCCTTCCTTTCCCCATTGGCTGAGGTACTAGGAAGGTACAGCCTTTCCTAAATGCCTACCACATATTCCCCACTTGAACCTACTATTTTACCCCAAAGTTCAGAAACTCAGGCTTGTCCAGATCCCCACTTGTTTGTTTCAGGAGCTGAGCTGCCTGGGCTCTGCAACAAACCTGCTGCCCAGAGTTAGTAGAGACATTAAGCCTCATTTCAAAGATGTTAACACCCACACCTTCACCCATGAAACTGTTTGTAAAGACGTCAGCTTTCTTCTCAGTCCCTCCTCTTATTTCTCAATTTGTCTTTACAAACCCTAGTTATTATTAACTTAACCATTTCTAACAACCAGAATTATTTGAAATGCACCCTCCCAACTTTTCACATCTTGTTTCTGCACCAGGTGTGGCAAGTAAATACAGGTAGCTCTTATGCCCTGCAGTGGTGGTTGATATGGGATGGAAGGGATGTCTTGTGGTGTAGCTTTGCTTACCTGGTGGTCCAGCAGATAGTGCCAAAGGACATAACTAGGTGTGGATGTGGAACTTGATGCTTTGTCCACCTCTTAGTGATGACTTTTTAATGACAGGGAGTTTAAACAGTCTAGGCACAGCTTCAATTTCTGCTCACAGGATCATTAAGTGTGGAAATACCTCTAAAGCAGAGTCTGTTACCCCAATACTGTCACGTTCATCACTAAACCATGTCCCCAGGTGCCACATCCACACTTTTTTTGAACACTTTCACCAGTACTTCCACCATTTCTCTGGGTGATTTGTTTCAATACTTGACCATTCTTTCCTAATTTTTTTCTTCCTAATGAAGAAATTTTTCCTAATATAAATTTTTTCTAAATCTCCTCATATGCAGCTTGAGGGCATTTCATCATCTTGTTACCTGGGAAGAAGGAAAACATAAGCTTCTGTGTAACAGAGGTTTATGAGTGATTTCTTAATCTGCCATAGTCTCTTGCCAGCTTTTTAATAATTTTTACTTAATTGTGTCACTTTGTTTTGCTTCCTCCTTTGTGTATCCCAAGAACCATGATAGTTCTCTTTTTTGAATCTGTAAATTTTTCAAGAAAGGTAGTGAGATTTATCATGTGCTGCGCTCTTCCAAATACTTGCACCTCTTCAATCCAAATTTCAGTCACACTCATTAATAAAGCAGAGCTTTCAAAATGAGTGCTTTTAAGACTTTGTGAAATTAACTTCTTAGGTGGAGAAATGGGATTCAAATTAGTGCCTATCTGAAGATAAAGGTATTCCGTGGGTACAGCTGAGACATCAAAGAATTCATATGGGAAAAAATTATTGGAAGTCAGATTTTGTAATCCTGTTGTGGAAGGAACTATTTGATTTTTCTTGTGCTTTTTGCTGGTCATCAAGGTAGTTTGTGAAGGAAGCAAAACTCATGGTTCTTTTTGGAATTGATGAAGCACAGATGCAGCATGAATTTAGCTGCAAGAAGGCCCATTCCTGTTAAACCAGAAAAGGTATAGAACTAGAAAGTAAATGTAAATGCAGCTGTTGGTTTGGCAAGATATAATGCCTCTTAAGAGTTGTGCAACTAGATTAACTTTTCCATCAGTGTGTGTTTGTTAAATATTTTGTAAGCAGTCAGAGCTTTACATTGTTATGTGCTTTAGGTGTGAGGTGGACACAGATGATACTTAATTTTTACTGAAAAAGCGAGTGCCCATTATTTCCATTAGGGTTTTCAATTTTAATATTAATATTGAACAGAAGCTGTGTGATCTGTTTTGGAGGAGGCA